TTCTCTGGATGTTGGCTGCCTTTTGTTCTGTTCTCTGTTAAGATGATCTCACGCTGCTTTAATAATGTTGAGGTCCAGCCTCTGGGGAGAAGCAGGGTAAGAAGCAGGGTACACCTTGGATGGGTCTCAGTCTGTTGTTTGTCTGTTGTTCGTCTGTTGTTCAAAAACCATTCACACTCTCATTCACTAATTAAACTAATCCCACTGACTGCATGTCTTGAGACTGTGGGAAAAAGCCAGAGTACCCAAAGAGAACCCACGCACACATGTGGAGAACACGCTGAAGGTCAGTGGATTTAAACCCAGGACCTTGCTATGATGACTCAGTGCTAACCACCACACCACTCTTCTCCCATGTTCCATTGTGTGCGCGTGTGTGTTTTGCTTTCTGTCCCAGTTTGCTTTTACTGGACTGACAGAATGTTTGGAATCATTTTCATATAAAAAAAATTATTATACTGGCTCTCAGATCCTTCCCAAACGGTTTTGCATGGTGGATCAAATTATTATTATTATTATTTTTGCATTCTGAATTCTATCAGCTTTGACATTTAGACTCAAACTGACAGTCTCCACTGTGGTTTACAGATGGCTGTAGATACTTTATATCCTATATATGAGGATTTGAACCAGAAATGTCAAATTCAGATTCATCATTTCATAAGACCTGTTGCCGTCTCAGCCTTTTCCCCCTGTTTCCCTTCCTTAGCAGTTCCTTCTTCACATCCACCCTTTCACTGAGACCATGTCTGTTGAGGCTGAATCAAACAGCAAATGCAGAGGGGCAAGATGCACCTCTCAGGTCCTGTGTCAGGGTTGTGCTGGATCTTCTTCTCTTTCTTAAGTACATGACTTTCCGATACTGTTCATCTGCTGTGGGTAGTTTTCTTTTAGGCCTGCCATTTTTTTGCCATTCACTTGTGCAGTTTCCTCATTTTAAGGAATTACATGGAAATCTGCCTGTGTGAAAGTAAAATAGAAATAAATGAGGGATGGCTCGAGACTTTTTCGTGGTGCTGTACTTCAGTACAAAATCCCGTGGTACTTAATTACATACGTACTTCAATTTCTAAAATATATGAGAGCTTTATGTGCTGACTTTTTATAGCAAGCTGTATCATAAAATTATTCATATGTGCAACCTGTTAAACAGATAAGCAGTGAAAATAAAGTTAAAAAATACAGCATTCACATATTAATACAACAACACTAATGACTATATCATAGACAGTCCCTCTCACAGGCTTCTTTCAACATAATGAGCTCTGCCACTTTTAGCACTTTCACTAAATTTTATCGTATAAGTTCATTTAGGTCCACGTGTAAACGTTTGTAACACAGACATAATCGGCCTTCTCTCACGTGCAGCTGGTGACGCGGGGGCACCCTCTGCTGTCAGAGCAGCTCTACACAGCAGAAATGTCGCCGCTTCGTTGCTCGTTTCCTATTGGCTGCGTGCAGTCATGTGACCAAAACAGAGTCATGGCGGCCTCTGCTGCAGTCCGGTCGAGCATGGGACTGACTTTGAGGCTTTCTCGAGTTATCCCGGACTGTAGCACGTGTCCACTGTCCAGGTTAAAGTGTAATGCGAAGAATGTGGCTAGTTTACAAAGGACGGGGTCCTTTAATAGTCTCCGGACGATAAACCGACACTTACAGACGAGTATAGGTGAGTGATGCAACCTGCTAAAATTTAGCTTAAAGCCGGTTTTCCTGTCAGGACTGTTGGTTTACGATAAGTCTGAATAAGTGCTCATGAGTTTTCTTCTTGGTGAAGTTTCAGTCATCGGCGATGCCAGCCACGTTTGGTCAGTAAAATTAGCAGTTATCTGCCTGGAAAGTCGGTTCAATAACACTTGCGTAACTTCGTTTCGGCAATCCCAGTTAGGGATGTGAAACTTGGGTGCAATAAGTAAATCAGTCCCATTATCAAAGTGAAGGAGCTGATGTCACCTTTCAATCTCACAGTAATAATGGCTGTGTTGCTCTTTCCCCAGGTCTTTACCACAGTGAGGAGGGGAGCTCCAATGCAGAGGACCCTGAGGATGTGTAAGTCAGCTGAGGCTTTTATTGTGAAATAACAGGGTACGGTGAACTGCACATACATGGATACATCGTAATACTTTTAATGAGAATTGTTATCACAGCTACTTCTGTCAAAAACTAAAGCCGAAGTTAGACTTAAGTGTAAATGGAAAATTAAAACTCACAACCAAGGCAGCGGCTGGATCCAGTTTAAAAGCACCCTAAACCATTAAAGAGTGCTTATGTGAGTTATTAATTTGAGAGCACATACTTAAAAATAAGCAGACCTCTTGTTGCATTTAAAGTTATTCTTATTTAAAAAATAAATAAAATGCCAGATAAGATTAAAAAATAGACCTCTGATACTTAATAGATAAAATCATTTAGAGATTTTCAGACTTCATTATTTATATATATTTTGTATATTATAAGTTGAGGATGGTGAAATAAACACTTTAATTATCCGTTTCTTTGAAAAACAAAAAACAAATTTACTTTAAGAGCTCATGTAATCTTGAATGCATCACAGACATAAAATGTTGTATCACCTGTTTGTTTGTTGCTTTTAATAGTTTGATGTCTTCTGTTCAGTGTCAACGTGGTGTATATAGATCGGTCAGGCCAGAGGATCCCTGTGAAAGCTAAAGTGGGAGACAGTGTCCTCTACCTGGCTCACAAGCATGGCATTGACCTGGAAGGTGAGGGTCGTTACAGATGAACTGTAGATGAACACCATTATCCTTGCACCATTGTCATTGAGATATTTGTCTTGTAATATTTAGGAGCCTGTGAGGCGTCTCTTGCTTGCTCAACATGTCATGTTTATGTGAGTGCTGCTCATTTTGACAAACTGCAAGAACCTGAAGAGAGGTAGGACTGCTACCAGTGCCATCTTATTTAACCATGTCACATTAAGTTTGACAAATCTATGTGATGCAGTTCGAAAGAAAATCATTATTATTGACACATATATCCATTCATAGGGAGGATGACATGCTTGACATGGCGCCGATGCTGCAGGAGAACTCCAGGCTGGGATGTCAGATCATTCTTACTCCAGAGCTTGATGGGATTGAAGTCACCTTGCCCAAGGTCACCAGGAACTTCTACGTGGATGGCCATGTTCCCAAACCTCACTGACAAGTGAGATAGGGTGTTCAGAAAAATTGAAGCTTTTAGCTTTGCACTAAGCACCATATGTACTGGTTGAGTTTGGGAGGGGGGTGCAACCATGAAGAAAAGCATGACAAGGACAGAAAAGTCCGTAGCAACTCCCAAGATGTCTTAACAACTGACTAATTCTACAGTTAACCACTGACAGGACAGTCCTAGGCAGAGTCAGACACTACATCTCACAGGTGATGTTACTTCGGGGGGGAAAAAAATCTTTAAAAAACGAAAAGATGTTTAACAAATCCTGTATTTTTTGTTTTGTTTTGGGGGGGTTGTGGCGTCTTCTCAGGCCAGCTTTAAGACACAATTCAATCAAACTGTTCTTTTTTTTTTTTGGAAAAAAGAGAGAACTGCAGGGGGAGACTTTATTTAACAGAGTTAAATCTTTGTGCTGATTAATGGAACATTCCTTGTTACAGCTCAAATGCGCACAAGTATCACAAGATTGTTGTTATTGTTTTGGCTAGTCCATTATTATCATTATATGCATAGCATTTACTTTTGTATGCACCATGCTCATTTATACATTTTTGTGTCTATGATGTAGAAGTACATGCTCACTGCCACAATCATCCTATTCTGCAAGACAGAAAAAAGCCATAAACAGTCATGTTTGCCTGATTCTTAAACACGGGCTCCTAAGAAATCAAAGCAGAATTTATACTGTTGAAACTTATTTTGTATTTGCTCCAAAAATTTCAGAAACGTTCATGTCAATTGCATTTCAGATAAAAAGGTGCTTTCTTTGTAACTGTCAGTGATTAAGGCTTGATTAGAGGATCTGGTCCAGCTGGATCCACAGCAGGATGTTGGAAGTGGAAGTATGTCTGCTTGGAAGCTGGTGATCTTCATGTTACCATAGTTTAAGTTTACCACATCTACCTTTTACTCAAGTCTACTGTACTTGTCCAACTTACGCACAAGTGAATTGTGTATTTTATGTCTGATGAAATACAAATATTTTAAGTTGTGCAATAAAATCTGTTTAAAAAGCTATTTTGAGTAGTGCACTCATTACCTGGGCTTTCCCAAAAAGGTCACCGTGCCCCCTCAGCTGAATTCGACTGATTTCAACTTGAGTCACCCAGGTTATTGCTGCCCAAGCTGAAGTTAATTGGTTAACCAAAGCTCAGTGCTTCTGCAGCAGTTGCAGAAAATGGTATAACTGGGAAGGATAGTGAGGTTGGAGTGGTTGAGCCAAATGCAAGTCGGACTTCAGGAAGTATCCCTATGGATTTGGAGCTAAAAAGAACCAAAGTGCAAAAAAAACCTCAACTCACAACCATCAAGCATGTGATGAATTTAAATGTGGCTCTTGCTTTTGTACATATTTTATTTTATAACCTCATGTGTGTGACTGCTAGTGCAAATGCACATCTGTGAAAGGTTTTAATATAGGTTGTTAAAAGTGAAATGACGACTTCAACCAGATAGCCCCCTGTCAAAATTGGTTACCTGGTGATGACCTTAACTCTTTAGCCAGCAACCTTACAATAACAACTCAAAGGCCACAATACTGACCTTATCACTGACTCACCAACAGTTAAATAACCATTACTGGCTGCATGACTAGCTAACAGCCATTGCCGGGGAAAAGAAAAAGGTTTTTCCACTTGCGTATCCAGGCAAGTAGTAGCTACAAAATGAACAGGAGTTAGGAGTGGCAAAGCTTTTATACCCAGACAGGCTGTAATCTAGAAAACGGAAAACACCCGCGTACCTTCTTCTGGCCCCAGAATCTGATCCAGTCATAGCAACCAGCTTCAGTGGTTCGAGTTCCCCAGCAAATCGACACGCTTAATTTTTTATTTGACAACGGATTGAAGATCACGGGTGAGCGTCGAGATTGGTACTCCACATGAATGTCAGGTAGAGTGGGCTGAACGCTTGTAGTTAGAGTTAGACCACGAGTTTTAAACGTGTTCATCTCATGATAAAGACACTGTTAGCTAGAGGCCATCACAGGTCAAAAACATAGAAGACAAAGATCGATTATGGCAGGAGGTGAAGGTGATGCACGATTACAGATAATGATTCGGAATATGCAATCATTTAACTTGACGAGTGCTTACTGAGATCTGATACTGAGTTTACGTAAAGCGAGTCATTGCCTACAGAGTTTATTTAAATATAATCACAATGCTAAATTGTAGATCTGCTTGCATGCGCTGTAGAATTATCTATTTTTGATTAAACTTTTAGGCATTCGTTTTTTCATGGCCTGTAAGAGGAAAAAAAAAAATCAATGATTTCAAAAGCATTCATTTTAACGCATTAACGTAATATTAGTGGGATTTGCTGCTGCGCTCGCGACGGCCCACAACCGCGAAAAATTTAGGCTACTCGACGTTCTAGAAGGCAGGAAATGCAACATTTGACGTTTCCAAACACGTTTAAACGCCACAGAAAAGTTTTGTTACAGTCTTTCCGGTGAGTTGAACTAGTTACATTTTTTTAAAGTTATTTTTTGATACAAAAACAAACATAGCATTAGCTTATCTGCTGTAACTGCATGCATATAATTGGCCGCATTAGCTCAGTTTTAGGATAGCCTTAGCCATTTTCTGTTTCACCTATGTGCATTAATCCATGCACAAAATACCAAAACATACGTTTGCTGTGTAAATTACAATTTTTTTCTGAGACAAAATGTAATTTATAAAAAAAATTATTGATCCAAATATAACAGTTAAAATAATGTTGCGCCTATCTTGTCTGGAAAAGGAAGAGAAAAACAGTTAGTGACAGTAAAGAGGAAGTGATGAATGATTGACTCCGGTGCTAACACCAAAGGTAGACAAATGTCAGACCTCTTAATATAATTTGTACATTCCATTCTTTTCTGACCAGATTTAATGTGTTGCTCTAATAAAACCCTGTTACCCAGTGTTACCAAAAGAACCTCCTTGACTTTGAGTCTTACAATCGACTCCTAGTATCTTTTTCTGAGCAGAATGTGTGTATAAAAAACAGCATTTCTGTGATCCTGAGTATTTATGTCATTTGTTTGTCATTTGTATTACATAATGTATAAACAAAAGAAATAAATAATTATCTTGATAATTAATCTTGTGTAATATCATACGGTTACTGTATCATTTTTAATAACATGTTTATAAATTACTTTCTTAGCTCGCAAGAAATCTTTTTAATCTGTTTCCCTTGTAATAGACTTAATTATTATATGAATCGTGTATTTAAAAATATGTAAGAAAAATAAATAAATAAAAATAAAAAATTGAAATTAAATAGTGAAATTACTACAAAAAAGTGTGACTATTGAAAAGCTGGGCAAGGTCGATTTCAACAGTTGTTTATTTGAAATTTATTGAGTATTTATTAATGGTCAATAATTTATTAAAAATAAATTGTTTTTCCTTAAATACGCAACAGAAAATTACATAGCGTCCAATTTAACCATTTTTGAACCCTAAATTGTCTTCCAGTTATATGACCCACATATTTAGGCTATGCTATTATTTTACGTTATATAAAATATTTAGCTGCTTGCAGTCAACTTGTTGCTTGTGGACTATTGATAGAAACTAATATCTTTCAATGACCTGTGGTAGGAAGCATATTTGTCATGTCAGAGGTGTAAAGGGCTAAAGGTACAATATTTTGTAATAGAGAAAAGATGAAGGGAACGTACAGGGAAAACATGCACAGATTTACCTCTGCTAGTCCTAAAGCTATTTGTTCCTATTCATATTGCAGACTGTGCCTCAGTATGAGTACGAAATCAAGGATGCAAGCTGACTTTATCCAGGGAAGCCAGAGCAAAGTGGAACACGATTCACCCCAGTCTGCACTCTTCTACCTTTTCCAAGAAGTTTCCAAGCTTGTATCCCCTATCCACAACAGTTTCCCAGACTCAAATCTACCCAGTGAATCACAGATTAAGACATATAGCCAGGATCCTTTAGTAATTAAAAAAGAAGAGGGTCCACATTCATTTGAAGCCTCTGCTAGTTCTGTCCAGGATACTTTAAAAATGAAAATGGAAGGCGACGCACATTCATTTCATACCTGTAATGGTTCCTGCCACCATAGTTTGTCTTGTTCGCTGCCATGTAATGAGCTGAAAACGGTAAATGAGGAGTGTCAAAGCAGCAGTGTCACAACTACATCACAGTGTGAACGCAATAGTCCCTGGAAAGTGCTGAGCCTGATCAACTTGCAGTGTGAAAAGCTGCTTCATTTGGAAAATCTTGAGGTGTTAGACCCAAGTTCAGCCTCATCTGCCACAAAATTAGGCTATTCAACAGTCACATTATCCACTGCAGCACCAGATGTTACAGAAGCTGCAATTGAAAGTGACACTCTAACTGGTGAATGCATGTTAGGCCCATCTCCTAATCTCTTTGAGAGACAAGAAATCACACCCTCTGTCAGTGCTGATGAAAAAGTGACAGGAAGACCCACAGGAGATGGATTTAAACTACAGTGCTGTGTGAAAGACTCCGAGATGGGTGTTCAGCTTGAAACTGCTGAGACAACAGACACTGACAGAGCAGACTCGCCGGGAGACAGTACAACAGCATCTCTGCATCCTCAACACAAGAGCAAAACAGAAGTTAACTTCACTGTCAACACACAAATTGGGTGCAGCCAGGAGTGTGAGAAGGATTGTTCTTCTAGCAAACAGGATATTTTAAATGCACCCTTTTTTGAATATGCTTTATCACAAGCACACAATGCATGTCTTAATACTAAGCTAACTTGTAATTCAGATGATGAGACTTGTACTACTCTATCAAAGCCAGTACTGTCACTAGATATTAATGCAAATCTTACTTTATCTGTGGAAGCCCAATGTGACAGCAGGCTGCCTCCTCTAAGCCCCATCCAACTTTGTTCACAATCACCATCACTTACATTCAGAGCTCCAGAGAATTCTCTCTTAGGTTCAAAACCAGATGAATGTGCAGATGCCCCCATAGATGGAGACACCCCTCCAACTGCCCCGATAAAATCTTCTGCACCATCCAAAGCAGAACTTTGGACAATGCAAAAGGAGGATCACGGTTCATCTTCGCACCAGTGGAGAACTAAGACTCCTAGAAAACAGCATTGTCCCAGTCGCAGTGTTGATATTCAAGACCCAGACTTCCAGGGAGTGACATTCAGGATGGACACGGAGCTAGACGAAAGCAGGGAGCAGTGTCGGCTTCTCATAACTTCAAAATACAGGTAGACAAACACATCTTCGGTACACGCCATGTATTACAAAACGTGGTAGGAGCTTACATGAAATCCTCTCACATTATTGGTGTTTTATGTGTGTGTACCCACAACAGCAAGGAACTCTGCAGGAGTGTGAGAAAACCCAGGCTGAGGACACGGTCATCACAGAAATCATTTAAAACTAGCAGCTCAGACGAGGAGAACGGCCACACAACCAGTGTTTTAAGTGAGTACCCCCTAACTATGTCCTCAAGCAAGCTGCTCGTTTATTTTACTGTTTTTCCTGGATCATCTAACAGAAGATGCAGAGAAGAGTTTACAGAGTATTTTGCTTGTTTTAATTTGATTTTTCAATGTTAAAAATTAAGCTCAAAGTACAATTTTTTTTTTTAGCATATTTCAGCGTTATTTAGTTTTTTTAATATAATAATGTGCATTAAATTAAAGACATTCTGAACAAGTGTTACAGGTCATGTTGGCATCTTAGTCTTAACACAGTTTGAGACTGGATTTGTAAAAAAAATTATTTAGTTATCTAATACAGACACACTGCATTTTTCAACTTTAACTAAATTAATATGAGGAAAAAATAGATTTTTTTTATGCAGCCCAAAAGTGTGTCTTAGAAAAACTTTGTCTTAGGAGACTTTATCCAGAATACAACACCAAACTAACCCCAGATGGTGAAACACTCAGCAAAACATCCCAATATATTAATATTGGAAATAAAAATATATAACTTTTTGTAAGAAAAAATAAAGTATGTAAAATACAGTATATTAAGTAAGTATCTGCAGCATTACAGTGTTATAGAAGTGCATTTGTGTGTGATACCCATAATCTCCACTAGAGGACACCACCACCTTAGAAATATGTAACTCAACAGGGTCAGACAGGTGTGACTGTTTCAAACAAGTGTTTAGGAAAGTTGTGGTTTAAACAACTTGAATAACCAGAACGGGAATGTCATCTAAGACAACAGAAAAATAAACTCAACTTTAAATAAATGTACTTATCATCAGCTAAAGATCTGAGTGCTAACACTATTAAATAAATACTCTAAATAATTTTTCATAATTCATATCTTTAATTTCATTCAATTTCATTCATAATTTTTCAAATCTTTTCTTCTCCTATACAAAGTTTCTTTACAAATCTATAACTATTTGACATTTGCGTATGTTTCATTTTTGGTAAAGTGGGAATGTCAGTGCGCTGTATTTCCAGCATTTAAAGACCAAAGAGCCAATCTTCTCGACAGATATGCAGCCTTGTTCTCATATATTGGTCAGTTAACAGAAAATGCAGTATAAATGTTCCAGTGAAGTTGTAGATTGTAGTTGTATTTTTAAAAAATATAAATGTCTTTCACTCAATTGAAGTTATTGTCTGGAGTCGGTTATTGTTTAATAATTTGATACAGTTTTTGAGGCGTAAAATTACAAATGTATCTTTAACCTCCTAAGACCTGAACTCTTTCATGGCATGCATTTTTAATTTCTCTTTGCTATTTGGGCTGATTGGGAGCTGATAAATGTAAAAATAAAGAATCATCTTTTTACCTGATGTAGTTTCCGAGAGGAGGATATCAGGACCTTGTAGAGCAAAATTTAGTATTGTGGTCTAGACAACCCAAAATGTGATGTCCACATATGTGGACACCAGGTCCTAGGAGGTTAAATGATTATTGCAAATGTAGTCACAATGTTTGGTTGCATTAAAACACTTCCTTAATTCAGATAAAAAAAAAAATGCTTGGCAATAAGTGATTTAAGCACACTCAGTTCAGTTTTACTGCTACTTGCTTAATCTTTCATTTCTGTTTCACTAGAGGGTAAAGTTTGTGCATCATGCTGCACCAGGAAGACCCCCATGTGGAGAGATGCCGAGGACGGGACTCCACTGTGCAATGCCTGTGGGATAAGGTAGCTCGATATTCAATATTCAATGTCTTAAACACTGAAGCTGTGCATTAGGGCTGATCACAATAATCAATTGGATTATTCTGATTTTTAACAGAGTCTTAAATTTTCTTTGTGTCCTCATTGATGATGTTGAAGTATAGCTTAAAGGAATTAATATATTCTAACTTGTATTTTGTGGAAACCTGTTCCAAATCAGTTTGTGTTGATGTTTACTTATTTTGCCATCGTTTTTCATCATGTTTTGAGCAGTCAGTTGCCACAACACTGTGCAGTTAAACAAGTTCAGGCCTCACAAACAACAGAAATGATCAACTTATTTTTTTCCATTCTCACAAGAGTCTGACTGCATCTTACAGAAACTTTACTTCATGCATGACTAATGCATTAAACTCATGATTGCATGAAACGGCATGTTAGTACTCACTGGCTCATAATTTCTCTTGTGAAATAAACACAGGTTAGCTTTTGAAATAAGGAGTAGTGCTGGGCTCAAAAGAATGTGCAGACAATCTACTTTGGAAAAGTATTAAATGTCCATGCTTGTAAAATGCCTTGTAGTATTATTACAAGTCAGTCATCTGCCTATGATAATTTGACTAAACAGCATTTATGCACCTGAGCATTAAAGGGCAAATAGTTGAACCACCACTGCATTTTTTTTCTCTTACTTTTGAAGGTATAAGAAGTACAGGGTGCGCTGTGTCAACTGCTGGCATATCCCTCGGAAAGAGGGCAACTCCAACGCGTGCTGCCTCAAGTGTGGAAACTTTGTGAGGCTGACCTCAGCTCAGCGGAAACACACCACCTAGGGAACTTGCACACAGCACAGGTTTTTATGCCCACATGTGACAGAGCTTTGCACAGACGCACACAACACACACAAACAATACTCGCTGCTCTCGTAAATCTTTACAGTTCACTACAGATATGACTACCTCTTACCTGACTCAAGGTATTTAAATTCGTTTTACTGTTATAGCACTGTACCTCAGACAATAGTACACATTTACCTCTATGACTGTGTGCGTCAAAGTAATAAAAAAACAACATTTAAATTTGTATGGAGAAAAAAGTATTTTCTGTACTGATCCTATTTCTGCTCCTTAATTTGTATTTAGCATGTGTGATGGAGCTTAGAAGGTTTGCTTTTTGTTTTTTGGTTTGTTTTTTTTCACCAAGAGGGATATACTGAGGACGCACAGACTTTGTAGCAGAGCTGAGAATCCTTTATACAAATAAATGGGATACTGAAGGACCACTGTCAGAAAGTGACGCATTCAGTGGAAAGTTTAGTCGTGAAATTTTTCATCGAAATAGCTTCAGTGTCGCTTACATATAATGGTCAGTAGTACCCGACAGCTGTAATAGAAAGTTATTTCTGTACAGGCCCTGAGCTCAGTGCTGTTTTTCACTGTTATTAACTGTAAAACACTCCTACTGCTCCTAATCCTGACAGCGACAGTTCAGTTACTAAGTTCATCAGATACATTTAGTTGAACAAGTTAAATCAAGCTATTTATTTTGTTGTCTTTGTTGTTGTTTTTTCTAATTGTGATTGTAATAGGTGGTCACTTTTCTTTGGTATTTATTTGGGCCATTGTTTCTGAGCATTATTTTATTTGGCTTGTTAAATCGGTGTGTAGATTTCCTTAGTATTGCTGGTTTCTGTGAGATGGGGAAAAGGGGTTTTGTGTATGTTTGCATGGGTTTTTGTTTGTATTAAATTCATGAACAAACCTGTGTCTCCCCGTTCTTCATTTAAGAATTTAGCTTAGTATTGCAGTGACTGTAAAATGATAAATTGATTTCAAATGGGTGCACATATCAAATTAAAGTACAGTGAGAGGGAAGAAATGTTCAGTAATGAGGCTTCCCACAGTTCCTTCAGCCCACCATGCACTACAGGCCTGCTGGCCAAGTGGGTGGCCTCGCACGGATTGATACAGTGCAGCTATTATTTCAAAATGGATTACGTCTTCTTGAGTTGGCTCTCTTGCCATGTGCTAAACCATCCAGCAAAGAGCAATACTGAAGGAAATGAGCGCTATGTAAGCCAAGGACATAAAAGAGAGCTCAAGCTCAATGAAATTCATATGCCTGCTCTTATTTTACATTACACATGCCCCAAAACGTCTCACCTGCTGCGGTCATTTAAACATCAGCTATAATCAATAATGAATGAATGTACACAAATCAAATTTTATGGCACTTGGCAGCCTGTCCAGCTTTGTACTTCTGATACTCAGTGCAGTTCAAAGACGAGCCTTATGCATTTACTCAGTTACGTTTCCTTAAAGACCTCTGTGGAGATTTATTCATTTTAATTGTTGCTGAAACATTATGGGTACATAAAATACGGCTAATTGTTCAATTAGCAGATAGTAGATAAAATGGCTAAGCCTGGCTCTCCAACCCTATTGTGCAATGTTAAGGGTGAAATACTTTTTCTGTTTTGCTTTTGCAGTTTCACTTTAATTAGAAGGCATTGTTTTACTGCTTGATGTATACCATTCATCAAATCTAGCAAATGAAATGTATTAAGTCTTTTTTTATAGTCGCAAAATTCTGTACACAAAAAGGGTACAATAAATAAGAACACGAAGTGGCATAATAGCCAAGAAAAAGAACAACTTACTCGGTACACACGCAACGATTACTGAGTCAGAAAACTGTGTAGATCCCCAAAAAGTTTAATAAATAAATAATATGCATCATGGACGTGCAGTTAAAATGTACTGGAAAGCAAATCACAACAGTAAAAAACAACATATAAAGAAGGAAGAAAAGAATAAAAAATAAGACCTTTATTTAAAAAAACAAAACAAAAACAACTATTTAAAGCGTGTATACACTGGAGAAAATATGCATGAGTTAGTGTAATTAGTGTAACCACGCCTTCAGTATCATCATTTAAGTTCTCTATCTTTGATTAAATAAAGTGTTTTTCCCCCACAGCTTCAGGTTTGTGGATACCTGCAGCTGTGTTAAAACAGACTGCGTGAGGAGGAGGGGGAAGTTCGGAGTGGGAGGCTCAAAAGTCAGGATGCAGTCAGATGCGCAACTGTTTTTGTGAATGAAAGGAAACGAGGGGGTCTCCTCTTTCTGTCCTAGACAGGCACTGAATCTCGCCCGCTGGGGCCTACCGGACAGTCCGGATCATGACGCTGGACAACAAGCCCATGGGTGAGGCGGACATTGAAGTGGGGGGCCAGGCGGACTGCAGAGAAGTTGTGAAGAGGACAGATGTATCAGTGTTCGGGGAGAGTAATGTAGACTTGGAGCGACGGCCTTCATCCTTTTCTCCTGGCGTGCAGGGAGAGGACGACTTTGAAGTCCGACTGCAGGAGGGTCCCGGAAGGAGAATTACCTCGGTGAAGCCTCCGTACTCTTATATCGCTCTCATCACCATGGCCATCCTCCAAAGCCCCAAAAAGAGGCTCACTCTCAGTGAGATATGCGATTTTATCAGCCAGCGCTTTGTTTATTATCGGGAGAAGTTCCCTTCGTGGCAAAACTCAATCCGTCACAACTTGTCTTTGAATGACTGCTTTGTCAAAATGCCCCGGGAACCCGGGAACCCAGGCAAGGGGAATTACTGGACTCTGGATCCCATGTCGGCGGATATGTTTGAAAATGGGAGTTTTCTTCGTCGCAGGAAACGCTTTAAGAGGCAAAGTTTATATTTGGCACCGATGAAAGGCTTCAGGGCGCAGGAGCTCACTTTGATGCCCGCTTTTCCTCTCCTCGGAGTGCGCAGGGTGGTCTCTAGTCTCCAGAGTCCCGATTTGTACCGAGATCAGGATCTAGAAAGTGGTTTCGAGTCCCGGGTTATCCCCAACAGACCACCTGTAAGCAGCGTCACACCTGCGCTTTCCTCGATCCTCTCCAAAAATTTCCCTTCTTGTCAAAACTTTGAACATTTGGACGCCGGATGCTGCGCAGCTGTGCGATCTTTGCCTCCAACCTCCTGCCTCCTGCATCCCGGTTCACTCCCCGGAATGATACCCAACTTCACTCTTTCGCAGCTGCCTGCTTCTCCCGACGGGATATTTAAGATTTCGTCTAGTTTAATTTAATCTAATGATGTGCGCCTGCACTGAGACCGACAAGGCTACCAAATACTGAATCTGATTCCCTGAAGTAAATGCTTTCAACACGGATGTTTTTAAAATCTTTCAGTGTGCTTGGAATAAAATGGATCATTTTAATTTCGTGTGTGCACTTTTTATTACAATTATTTATTACACCGGAATCTGTATAAGATTAAAAAGACCATATCAAATGAACCCGGTTCATATAAATACATTCTGCTATGTTTTTAATTATTACTGCTTAATTTTAAATCTTTTTTACGACTGAATACAACTAAATTCTAGACTTAAATGACAAATTTGCAGGATTTTAAATAAAATTGTGAAAACAACGAGAAATTTAAAAAAAAGTTTAATATTCTTAATTTTACTTGATGATGACAAATCATAAAGAGACTGTTTAGGGTTATACAAATATTAATGACAATATCCATCATTGTGTGGCAAATGGGCCATTTGATTTTGTATCATCAAGATAAAAGAATACGTATGTTTCAATCATTTAAATACACTGATTATTCTGAACACCTACAGTCTGCGCCTACAGCGTTCACAGTTCAACTATCGATCTATCTGAAGAACAGGAGGATCAGTTCCCGATGCTGTGTCGTGTATAGATTATTTTGTGGTGGGTGACTGGTTTGCTACCTAGAGAATGAAAGAACACAAGACATCTGGGTATGTACGGGTGTTATCCTTCCCTTTTCTGTTTAGCTTTGGCCGGTTTGAGTGCATACATATTCGCTCACATCCTACTGCAAACCAGGCCTTCTTTATTAAAACCACGTCTTCATTTTTCAAAACACTTCTGTCAGGCGAGCTAATAGTGACGTTTTTGCTTTGTGGTGTACGCCAGCCTGTACACAGCAAGAATATTAGATTCACTCAATCATCGAGCTGCTGGGTATTATTACAAGTTATGCCT